GGGAGGGAGGGCTGGCTCCTGATCTCGCCTGCTTCTTCTGCCCCCCAGCGTTTTCAGGACGCCCGGCCTGCGGGCCCCTGCCGCCCACGAGCGGACCTTCAGCATCTCGGTCAACGGCAGCCCCCTGGCAGACAGGAACGAGGTCTTCCTCACGGTGCCCCTGGGCGGAGGAGAGGTGAGGGCCTTCGGGCAACCGGGGGGACGGGGTGTGGAAGCCACCTTCGCCCAGAGGGGCAGCCCTCTCCTCTCCCTGGGGTGGAAGGGGTGGGGGCTCCTCAGCACAGGCACGGCAGCTGCACCTGGGCTGGGGCTCCTGCGGGAATTGGGGGAAACGGGTGGGGTCAGGGGGGGCTTCTTGCGCCTATCCGGAAAAGCTGCTCCAGAGTGGGGTCCTTCTGTTCTCTGCCCAGAACGTCCAGATCAGGGCCAGCGAGCTCTCGGAGAGGGACCTGGCGGGGCTGAGCGCACAAGCCCTGGGCAGCATGAAGAAGCTCTCGGTAGGCCTGTCTGCTTTTCTCCCTTATGCCCAGCGGCCTCCCGCTTTCCTTGGAGCCATGCCCACGGTTGGCCAGCCTTCCTGGATGCCTGGGGTCTCCCGGGAGGGAAGGTGGGAGGGAGGGGTGGCCTCTTGATTCCCAGGGACCCCTTTATGGCCACCCCTCTTGCAGAAGCCGCTCTGGGGGTCCACAGGGGCCAAAACACCAACACAGCCGTAAAATAACCGCTGGGATAAAACATGGCAGCCGCCAGCGCAGCCCCTTGAGAGCCGACTCCATTTCAGAGAAGCTGGAAAGGGGTCGGATGCGGTGCAGAGGCAGGAAAGGCCCTGGTGGCTCTGTGGCGCCTGTGGGCTGGCAGATGGGTGGGGGGCAGCTTTGCTGGGCGGAGGAAGAGTGGGGAGGGGAGGGGCCCCTGCTGGGATGGCCAGGGCTGCATTTCCATTCCCCGCCCCGTGTGGCTTTCCGTCTGGAGCAGGAGGGGCCCTTCTCCATCCCGGCTCCTCCGTGCAGTGGCCGGGGAAGGCCGTCTAGAGGGTGAGGGGCATTTTCTGCAAGAGGACCCTCTGACACCCCCCCAACGGCTCCTCTCCTTCCAGAGCCAACTTGTGCAGCTCTGCAGCCGAATGGGCAGCCACAAGTAGAGGGGCTTCCGACCAGTCGCTTCCGTCCTGTCCTGTGGAAGGAAGATTTCGCTCGCGGACGACGTCCTCCAGAGGCTGCAGAGGGCGGGAATCGGACCTCTGGGGGTCTCCGCCGACTTTGGCTTCCTGCAGACACCCCCCACCCCCCCTTGGTCTTGCTCCCTTTGGGGAGGCCTCTGCTTGAAAGGGCTTAGACTCTGTCTGGGGTGGTGGTTCTTTCGGTTCTCCTGTCCCTTCTCCCCCCGCTTCCTTCTCTCCTTGTGGCCGGCGGGGGGCTGATCTCCGTTATCCAGGGTCGTCCTGGCCGGCTGGACTGAGCCTTTCCTGGGACGAGGCCCAGCCTCTGCCTGATCCACCCAGCAGGGGCGAGCCAGCACCTGTCCTGTGGGGGGAGGAGGCTGACTGGCCCTGCCCTGCCACAGGGTGCCTCCCGGGGGGCTTCCTGCTTCTCCCCTGTGTGCGGGGGGAGAAGGTGACAGGGGTCAGAGCAGCCCTGGCGCTGGGTGTGGGGGACAGGACCCCCCACTCCCCCCAATGAATGCTGGCTGCTTTCTGTCTCCATGGTCCTTCCTTCCTTTCCGAGCCCTTGTGTGGCTTTCTATTTATCTTTTTCCATGCGGTGCAAGGACTCCACTGCCTTAATATTTTTGCATTTTACAATAAAGTTTGTTGTCGACTTGAAGGTCTGTGTGGCTTCTTGGGGTCATTCTGAGCATGCAAACGGGGGGGGCTCCCACACCTCCCCCGGTCCTCCCCCCCCTTGCACCCGGTTGTCCCCTTTCCTTCCCAAAATGGAGGTTTGGTTGGCCCCAAAGGAGGTGTAGAGGCTCCATGCAGGGAGCCTGGGTGCTGCCTGGGGAAGAGGCGGCCGGACTAGGGACAGGGTCTTGGGACAGAAGTCAGCTGCCCCACTGCAGGGTTAGGGGCTGTGGGGCTTCCTGATCAGAGCAAGGAGGAGTTCCACCTCCCTTCGGCTTTGCTCGGCCGCTTTCTGGCGCCTGGTGCTGAACAGGAGACACGGAGGCCCCAGAGCAACTTCCCTGAAGCTCTTCCAAGACGGCAGCTAGAAACTCTTCGGAGGCCGAAAGAGCCGAGCGGGCGAGGGGATGCGAAGGTTTCCTCACAAGTGAATGCGAGGAGTCGCACGGAAGAACGTCAAGGTGAGTTACGTCATCCGTGGCTTGAAGGCGGTTTTGCTGCTGTTGCTCTTTGGGAAAATCCCCAGGAGACGGGCAGGGAGTTCTAGTCCCGCCTTAGGTGTGAAAGCCTGCTGGGTGACGGCCGATCCCCAAGGGACGGGGAGTTCTAGTCCTACTTAGGCGTGGAAGCTGGCCGGGCGACTTTGGCCACCTCTCCTCCCAACCACTTCACAGGATTGTGGGGAAAGTAGGAAGAAGTATTAAATGTTTACTGCCTTGCGTTGTTTACAAAAAATAATAAAAGTGGTCTATAAATTAACATTTAAAAAAATGAATGTTCCGAAGGACACGCGTGACATCAGCACACAAACATCGAGGCTTCTGCAATTGCATCGGACACGAGAGCAGCCGCGTCCTCAACCTTCGCCCTGTGAGAGTCCCTGCGTGCCCGTCGTATGCGTGGTGCGCCCTCATTGCCCAGAGTTGCTCTTAGCAAGATGGGAGACAATATACACAGTTTAATTATAGATGGGTAAAACAGTCATCCAGATTCCTGGTGGTGCACAACAACCTTTGGTCCTGGATTCCACTCCTTGGGCTCAGCCAAAGAGGACAATTGGCCTTCTGGGTCTGAGGCCACCTGTGTTCAAGCCAAGCGGGCAGATTCCCTGGGGATCTCTTGAGGTTTTGTTTCTTCTGGTCCAGCCCAAGACTTGCCTGTCCGATCCACAAGGGGTTTAGAAGACGTCTGGTGGCTACAGAGCATTTTCTCCCCAAGGCCACCCAGGAGAAACTCACCAAGTCCTCTCCCCAGCAGAGTTAGTCAGTCCTCAGTGCACTCTTGAGGACGGAGGGACAGCCCAGTAAGAGGGGGGGGTTACTTCCCCCACAGGAAGGAGCTGCCCCCTTGGAGCCCTTCCTATGGGGCCATGCAAGCCTCCTCTAACTGGACACTGGGGAGCCTTCTTGGGGGGAAGAAACCACCAGCGGATGTGAAGTTGAAAACGGCTACCTGGGACCTGAGGTGGGCTCAGTTTCTCCATCGCTTGGGGCTGAGGGAGCCAATTTCTGCCTGAAGATGGGAAAAGTGGGTCCTTGGAGTCCCCATGAAAGCCGGATAAATCACCTTCTTCCTTGCATGGTTGAGTCCTTTCTCTTCCCCCAAAGAAGCTCCTCAACGCCACTCAAGAGCTGCCTCCACCTCTCTCCGCAGGTGAGTCCCTTCTAGCCAGCCCATGGCCCACTTTGTGACTTTGGTCACCAGCCCGAGGACTGATTCTGCAAGCCAGGCAGGGGGGGGGGGTCCAACCTTGGCAACTTTTAAGACTTCCAACCGGCCAGAAATCCCCAGCCTTTGCCAAGTTTGAAGAGCTGCTGTAAACCGAATACTGATTTTCTTTGTGACTGTCAAATAAAGGAGATGATAATGTCATGGACAAGTTTGCTTATTGGACGTGGCAATAAAAATGTTCTGCAAGGATTGGGGCAACCAGCCATGGTTGGGAATTGGGACAGGCCTTTTCTTCGAGATCTCGTTTCCTCCATGGAATCTAGATAAGAGAATCTTACCGAGTGAAATAATCTGTAGCCGTGTCTGATGGCGGGAAAATATCTGCGTTTTTATGGCCTCACCAAGTCTAGTCATGGAAATAATCTCAATTATTTATTAAAGTAATCATTATGAAGATAAATTACATGCTATTATACTCTACTTAACAGCATAATATAGTCAAAAGACTCTACTGTATTGATAGTGGCAGAAAAGTTGCTTTTCAGCAAAAAAATGGGAAGGGCTGTTAAGCATTATGGCAAGAGGTTGACGGTGTTTCCCTCCTGAACTCAGAATAACCGAATCACAGGGTTGGAAGGGACCTTGGAGGTCTTCTAGTCCAACCTCCCCCCCCCCCCGCTCAAGCAGGAGGCTCAATACCATTCCAGACAAACGGCTGTCCAGTCTCTTCTTGAAAACCTCCAGTGATGGAGGAGCAGCCACAACCTCTGGAGGCAACTTCTGTTCCACGGGTGAATTGTCCTCCCTGGCAGGAAGTTTCTCCTGAATTCCAGGTGGCTTCTCTCCTTGGTTAGTTTCCCTCCGTTGCTCCTCCTTCCTTCAGGGGCTTTGGGGGATCTGGTGGTTCCCTTTTCTCTGGGCCAGTCCTAGGCGGGGTTTCCTGAAATCAGCTAGCAGGCCATTTCTCTTCTTTGGTTGCATTCGCAAAGAAGAGTTTCCAGGAATTCAAGAAAGAATCCAATGAGCTGCATTGGGTTTCTTTCTGGTCCAAATTCTTAGAATAAAGTAGAGCTGGAAGGGTCCTTGGAGGTCTTCTAGTCCACCCCCTGCTCAGTCAGGGGACCCTACAATTTGGGGCAAGTGGCTGTTGTTCCAACGGTTAATTGTCCTCTCAGTCAGGAAGTTTCTCCTTAATTCCAGTTGCTTCTTGATTAGATTCCATGCGTTGTTTCTTGTCCTCTTCATTAAGACTGTTTCATTCATCTTTCCTCATTAGCTTCTTTGAAGTCCTTCTCAGAATACGGGCTCTTCACTCATCACAGCGTCGTATCTTAGAAATGCTGGCACTGTCATTTCTACTAACGAAGCGACTGCTTCCCTCTGAGTTAAAGCCACGGCCCCCCTGCAGGTGGGGCCAGGCTTCCCATTGGTAACGTCTCCCCCTTCTTTCTCCCCCACCAGACCCTGGACTTGGGTGCGATGAGTCAACATGCTTCAGGACCCCCAACAGCCCTTCAACCGGAGCAGCCTCCCTCCTGCTTCCTTCATCCTGATGGGCATCCCTGGCCTGGAGGAATACCACAGCTGGATGGCGGTGGCCTTCTGCCTGATGTACCTCTTTGCGCTTCTGGGGAACCTCTCCCTGCTGCTCCTCATCCGGATGGAGCGCAGCCTCCACCAGCCCATGTACCTCTTCCTGGCCATGTTGGCGGTGGCCGACGTGACCTTGTCATCCTCTACCGTGCCCAAGACCTTGAGCGTCCTCTGGTCCTACTCCAAGGAAATCTCCTTTGACGGCTGCCTTGCCCAGATGTTCTTCACCCACATCAGCTTCATTGCAGAGTCCACCATCCTGCTGGCCATGGCCTTCGACCGCTACATTGCCATCTGCCGGCCGCTGCAATACACCTCCATCCTGTCTCCCTCCGCGGTGGCCAAGACCGGCTTGGTGGCTCTGGCCAGGAGCTTCTGCGTGATGTTCCCCACCGTCTTCCTCCTCAAGAGGCTGCCGTACTGCGGGAAAAGGCTGATGCCCCACTCCTACTGCGAGCACATGGGCATCGCCCGCATGGCCTGCGCCAATATTGCCGTCAACATTTGGTATGGCTTCGTGACGACCCTCCTGTCCCCTGGCCTGGACATCTTCCTCATCGCTGCTTCCTACCTGCTGATCCTCAGGGCCGTCTTCAGGTTTCCTTCCAAAGACACCCGCCTGAAGGCCCTGGGGACCTGCGGCTCCCACCTCTGCGTCATCCTGATGTTCTACACCCCGGCCTTCTTCTCCTTCTTTGCCCACCGCTTCAGCCATGGCATCCCCCAGTCTGTCCTCATCCTCGTGGCCAACCTCTACCAGCTGCTGCCTCCAATGCTGAACCCCATGGTCTACGCCGTAAAGACCAAGCTGATCTGGAAGAGGCTCCGCAGGGCCTTCGGCAAGTGAGGCAGGGGGTCCCCACTGCGCCCATCAACGATGAGTTGGGAGCAGAAGAGCAAACTCCACCAGCTCCTCCTCCTCAAGGGTTGATAAACAGGGTGCAACTTGTCTGTTTTCCCCTTTCTCAACCCTGTGGAGCCCCCTTGGGTGCCCTAAGGACCCGCTCAGTCTGCTTCAGGGTTAATACACCACTGGTTATCAGCCAATATCAGCTCTTCCAGGTGACCCGACAGGAGACGCAACTAGATGAGCTAACTCTGCTTTATGGCATGGGGACACTAACTGCCTCTTGCAAGGTGTGTCAAACCTTCAGAAAGGGACGGATTTCCCATCTCCATTTTAACCATCCAATCAATTAAGGGAGGCCCTTCCTAAGTTTCTTCCTCCAGTTAAGCTAGTGGGGGCTCCCTCCCGTCTTGTATCCCATCAGCCTCTCTTCTCCATCCCATTACATCCACTCTTAGCGTAGACGCTGCTGGAGCTGCCTTCCGAGGGGATGAAGCGCTTCCAAGGTCCAAGGAGCAGATGCAGCCATCCGGAAGAGCTCTGCAAAGCCACCAGGTCCCACGTTTTCCTAAAAGCATCCTGCCTTTCTCAGAATAACTGGGGCTGATTTCCTGGCTTTGGTCCAGGCTGTGCTTGGCCTGGGAGGGCTCTCGCTGGAGGCAGGTGAGGTGAGCAATAAACCCTCCCGAGGGCAATTCCTGCCTCTTTTCCACACAACGTCTCAACTAACAACCGCAAGAGGTTTAATGAAGAGAAAGAGGACGCTTGAGATGATGGAAATCTTCCAATATTGGAGGAGCTGTCAGAAAGAAGAGCGGGGAGGGGTGTCAACCTATTGTCCAAAGCACCTGAGGGCAGGTCAAAAAATAGCATATGGACGCTTGTCAAAGAGAGATTCAGCCTAAAACTATGGAGAAATTCCCTATCAGTGAGAAGGATTGACCAGTGGAACAGAAGTTGCCTCCAGAGGTTGTGGGTGCTCCAACACTGGAGCTTTTCAAGAAGAGGATGGGCAGCCATTTGTCAAGAACGGTATAAGGTCTCCTGCTTCAGCAGGGGGTTGGACTCGAAGGCCTTCTAACTCTGTTATTAACGTCAGCGTCATTCATTGCCTTCCATAAACTTCAGTCTTACAAATTTTAATTTGGCCTCTGCAAAACCCTGGATTTTGCAAAGTCCTGGTATCGGGCCTGCAATTATATTCCTTTTAGAACTTTGGCCTGCCACACTTTCTCTTATTTCATTATGCTGTTTCTTTAGTATAG